GTATATACAAGGGATAGCTAGGGGTGATTTTGATGTGAACCCCCTGAGGGTAAAGGAGTGGATCATTATCGTCACCCTATGCGACGAGGAAGGGCCTAAAGATAGCACACATAGATATCATAAACAACTACACATAAGAAGTATAAAGAGTGTACAAGCAATCTTAAGAAAAACAGAATAACAACAGCTAGGCAATGAAGCAAAAAAGGAGATTCATGTCCATCCCAAAAGCAAAACTGAGGAGCTCTGAAATCTCCTTCGTATATACAAGGGATAGCTAGGGGTGATTTTGATGTGAACCCCCTGAGGGTAAAGGAGTGGATCATTATCGTCACCCTATGCGACGAGGAAGGGCCTAAAGATAGCACACATAGATATCATAAACAACTACACATAAGAAGTATAAAGAGTGTACAAGCAATCTTAAGAAAAACAGAATAACAACAGCTAGGCAATGAAGCAAAAAAGGAGATTCATGTCCATCCCAAAAGCAAAACTGAGGAGCTCTGAAATCTCCTTCTCGCGGATGATATCTTTCAGCTTTTGCCCCCTTATGGTGGCCGTAGCACCTGTCCAAAAATGATAAAATGAGCAACTTTGGAAGCGAACTTGGGATACCTCTTTGAAAATGTCAAGCTATTACGAGCTCTCCACGTGGACTAGCAGACAATGGAAAGCAAATCCTCCAAAACTAGTGAGTCTTAGAGTCAATAGTCATCTTTGCTGAGATGAGAGCACTGATTTTGATCTTGAGGCAAAGAAGTGACACCGATCTTAGGGAGAAATAAGTTCCAAACCTGCTTAGTGAAAGGATAGTGCAAGAGGAGGTGGTCGTGAGACTCCAATTCATGAAGACATAGGGAACATTCAGGATCACCAGTCCAACCTTTGATGAGAAGTCTATTCTTTGTATTCAGTTTATTCATGGATAACAACCGAAGGAAGAATTTGATTTTACTTAGTAGGATATTTCTCCAAATAGCCGAAAAGAAAGGACTATGGGTGCCTCCGTCGGAAGTGAATAAATATAAGTATTTGACAGAGAATTGACCAGAATTCTCAAAATGCCAACACACCTGGTCCAACTCCGTGTTGGGACGAAGCATAGAGGTGACTAGCATCTGGTTAAGAGCATCAACCTGAGATTGCTCTTGATGTCCTATAGGTCTTCTGATAATTGGTCTCCACTGAATCTCCCCTGGGACACAACATTCACTTGCTTGGAAAAGGCAAGATTATAAGCCAGAGGAAAAAAGCTAGCTAGGGGATTCTCACCGATCCATTTGTCTTCCTAGAATCTTATCTTTTGGCCATTGCCCAAATTCCATTTAACAATAGAGATAAAAAATTGGGTGGTAGAAGAAACAACCTTCCAGAATATAGAACAATTACCTCTAAGTGGTGTGCTAGTCGAGTGAACAGGAAATATTGATTGAAGAACCTGACCAACATAATTGCCGTTGGTGAGGTATGTCCAAATTCACTTGGCAAGGAGACAAGAGTTAAAATCATCTAAATTGACACCCAGGCCCTCCACTAGTTTTGGGGGAGCAAACATGGTCACATCTAACCANTCCCCCCCCCCCCCCCCCAACACACACACACCACACACACACACAAAAGAAGTTATGTCTAATTTTTTCCATTGCATTGATAAAACCATTTAAAAATTTAAAAGAAGGACGTGTAATAAAGGAGAATGGATGTCAGGACTAAGTTAATAAGAACCAGTCGACCACCAAAAGATAGATGCTTGCTTTTCCGCATGGAAAGCTTTTTGTGGTAAGCGTCAATAAGCGGCTGCCAGTCTTGTTTGGATAGGGATCCCTTCTTCAAAGGAAGACCTACATATCTAAAGGGTAGGGAAGCAAACGAGCAGTTGAGAAGATTTGCTAGGGATGGGCTTTGATTGACAAATTTTTCGCAGTAGTAGAGGCTGGACTTAGAGAAATTAATT